ATGGCAGATGAGAGAGTCATCCAGAAATTATAGCACTGGATCAACAAGTTGTGAAGAAACCTGTTTGTACAGGAATGCACCCTGGGGGCAGTGGGACACGGCAGGAACAAGGAGGGTCTTGAAGGAGAAGAGGGCTGGAGATGACCAGCTCTGGTTGTAGGGTGTGCTTGACAGGAGATGAAAAACTAATTTCTGATGAGAACCATAGAATCATTTATGTTGGAAAAGACTTAAAATCAGTGAATCTTGCTTTAAGCCCACACTGCCAAGCTCCCCCCTCCCTGCAGAGCTGCTCACTCCCATGCGTGGCTGCCCAGGGACAAGGAATATCCTGCCTCTGCTCAAAGAGGGAATCCAGTGAATTGTGGTGGTTTCTTTCCCTCATGAGAATTTCCTCACCTGAGCACTGTGGCAGGGAAGGCAGACACACAATCTGCACTGTTCCTCACCTGGATTTTTTTTTTTTTTAATTTTAAAATACTCATATTTGTTATGAGTCCCCTGCAAAGGTGTTTAAGTCTTTGGGTTTTGGTGCTGTAGGGGAGGGAAGGGTGTCACTGAGGCTCCATGTGGGCTGTGTGCAGGGCACAGTGATCCCCATGCAGTGTCTGTCTCAGTCCTCTGTCCAGATTGGCCCTGGTTTGTTTCCTTTGAAATACAGTATATTTTAGTGGTGCCTAAGTGGTTTTTTTGTCATCAGGTCTCATTTACTGATCCCTAAGGGCTTGACTGTCATCCCAGCACCGTGTGAGTTCCCCTTGTAGGACAGTAATGTCAAAATCCTCACGTCTCTTCTCCTTTTCCCTTCCCCTTCATCGTTCATGGCTGAGTTGAGTTTATTTGGGGGGGATTCCAGCATCCAGCAGCTTTGGGGTCCTCGTCAGCGTTACGCTGCTCGTAAGGCAAATGTCAGCAGGAATCCTGCCTTAGAAATTTCTCAAGAGTTCATCGAGGGAGAGTTTATCTCTCAGCCCTGACCTTTGTTGTTGAACACAGATGAACACTTGAGCAGGGTCCGTGTGAGCGTGGCAGTTTGCAGGAAAAGGCTCCAGCCACACATCCCTGCCTCCTGCCCCTGCCTCAGCCAGGGCTGCCACGCTGCTTTGGCTTCCAGCTCTTGGCTCCTTGACACAAAGCACTTGGCTGAAGGTGGAGGAGCCTCTCACACGCAGGTTAAATGGGGATAAAGGCACTCTGCTGAAGGATGGCTTGGTGACAAAGTCTCACTGCCTGAAGAGGTCCAGCTCTTGCTGTGCCAGCAGCTCCAACGCCACCAGCACCAAAACTGGCATTGATAAAACCTGCTGGGGCTGCCTTATGAACCCACATTTTTTATATCATTCTGTGTCCCATCTCACATTCCCTCACTGCTTTTCAGTGCCCCCCAAGCCACTCTGGCACTGGGCAGAGTAAGCCTGAGGCTCCCCAAAGCCTGTCCCTCAGGCTTCACCTGCTGATCAAAATTCACAGGCTCAGAGTCTTCTCTGTAAGAAAAACCACAGCAAATTCAAAGTGAAGCAAGCAAGACATTAACCTGCCCTGTTCCATCACTACCAGAGCTCTTGGCTGCTGGCCCTTGATCTCCATCAGCACAGGAAGGAGCTTCTGTAGTCCAGAGCATGGAGGATGGCTGGGGCTGAAGATAAAAGGTGCTTGGCTGTGACTTACAAGCACATCGAATCTTTTCCACATCTCCCCCGACCTTGATCTATCACAGGGCTTCCTGGGGACACTTGGGATTGTGAATTTTGCATAGAGGAAGCCTTTGAGCTGGAGGTGCTCAGGCACAGTCTCAGAGCTGTGCAGTTGCCTGCTGCAGGATGGTTTCCTGTGCACTTGCTTGGGAAATGGGACCTGGAATGAGTCCTTTGCTGCCAGGACTTCCTGAGTGCTGGCAATTCTTGGAAGGGGAGAAGATGGCCCTGCCAGCCCTCAGTCACTGCTGAGCCAGTGTGATGGATCCAGTCAGGGACTCCTGGTCAGCTGAGCCCGTGCCTCTGCTGGGAGCAGGCAGCAGGTCAGGCTTTGCTCCTGCTCCTGGCATCAGGTCACAGTCCGTGGTTCCCTGCCCTCCATGGGCACACAATCCCCTGACAGTTCTGCAGCAGCAAGCTTCCCAACACCTGCCCCAGTTCCTGTTCTTGCCATGGCATCTTGGTGGCCAGGGGAAAGGCTCCAATTCCTTCCAGCCTGCAAGGAATTCCTGTCAGTGCTCTGCAATTCCCACCGTTCACAGCAGCCTTGGGCAGCTCCTGACAGCCCCCAACATCAGGAATTTTGTCATAAGGACACAGGTTTCCAAAAAGTGTTAACTTTTTTGGTGATGCAGTATCTGGAGTCTAGAGAATTGCAGGCATTTTTCCTTCTTCCTTTTAGTCTCAGGATACTCCAGGTTTGTGTAAAACAAACTTGTTTCCAGGTAGTTCTTGCCAGAACACACCAGGATTGGCTTTTTGGGGAAGTGGCTCAGGGTCCCTTTGCTGTTGTGATGGTGAAGGTGCCTCTGGCTCCAGGTGAGCTCACCTGGGCTCCTGGAAGAAGACAAACCCTTAGCAACCAACCATGGCTGAGCAAATCATTTAAATACAGCTTTCTGAGGCTGCTGAGCCTCCTGCTAATTATGGGAGCTTTCTGTTTCATTTGTAGGGTCTGGAGAGAAGTGTTGGCTCTGGAAAAGCTTCCAGCTTTTTCTGTGGAGTTTTTCAGGCACCACATGGAGAGGTGCCAGGGCATCCCAGCCTCCACATTCCCAGATTGTGGAGCAGCCCTTGGCATGCCCCTTCTCCCTCCTGTGAGCAGTGTGGAGTGTTGAACCCCTGGTCAGTAGATAAAAAATGACCTTTTCCTTCCCCACCTGAATCACCTACCCACTGCCAGCTCTTCCTGCAGGTGTGAAAGCCTTACCTCCAGTCTTAAGAGATGCAAACGAGAGTGGCCAGGGTGGGATGTGGGCTGTGGGGGCACACAGAGTCTCTCTGGTTCCTCAGGTGGTGGTTCTGGAGGTTTCTGGTGCTGCTGTGGGGTTTGCAGGAGTATTTTACTAACAGGATGCCCCTGGCCATGCCAGATCCTGCTGTCACTCGGAGCAGCCAACTGGGTTTTCTGTGTGACTTGGCAGGAAAATTCACATCCACTTTATTGAACCAAAGGGAAGAGAAGGGGGGAAAAGTGCTGGCTTGTAGTAATAAAGGGCTTTGGAACATCTCAGCTGGATATTTTTCTTCACGAGTGAGAAGGCCAAATGTTATCTTGACATTTAATCTTTAATAATAAAAAAAGGCTCTTTGTTTGCCAGCGAAGTCCAAAATCTGTTTACTCTCTCATGCCTTATTTCTTTGAACTTACTAGCTTAGATGTCCTACTTACCCTCCCCTGCTACCAGTCCAGAGCTGTGGTGGATCATTTGTTGTGCAGAGCTGACTTTTCTGTCACCACAGAGCCACCAGCTGCCAGCTGTGCTTCCCTTGGCCAGGTCATTCCTTTGAGAACCGGGGTCCCTTGGGGTGGGCAGTGCAGGGCAAGGGGCCAGGGCAGCAGAGGTGCAGCCTGTGCCCCCCACAGCACTTGGGTGAGAGCACAGGGCTGCTCCAGGCTGCTCTCCAGGCCCAGGAGAGCCCTGTGGTCAGTGCATGCAGCTCTGACCCCTGGGCACAGGTCACTGAGGCCACCAGACTTCACAACCCACTCTAGGGTTCAGTGGAGATCGTGGGAAGTTGCAGCCAGAGGAAAAGGCTGGGGCAGCCCTGTGGCAGCCCGGAGGGGTGGGGATGGAGGTGATGGGGAGGTGCCCAGGGGGGTTTGGGGCAGGCTGTGGTGTTGTGCCCACGTCCAGCCCCGCTGGCCATCGTGTCCTGGTGCAAAGGTGGGTGGGGACACGGTGGGGACACGGTGGGTGTGGGCAGAGCAGGCTCCCTGTGCTCCCCAGGGACCTTGCAGGTACCACCCAGGTGGAGCTCCAGCTTCCCACAGCCATCTCCATCCAGCTCCTCCCAGTCCGCTGACTTTTCTTTCGCATTGAAACTTCTTCCTCATAAATTCTACATCCAAGAGCAGCCGTGAGAAATGCCAGAAGCCTGATCATCTAACATGCTTTAATACCTAAATTTCTTCTTCAGTATCATTCTTATTTACATTGTTTTTCTTTCTCAAAAAAAAAAAAAATTAAGGGAGGAAAAAAATTAAATTTTCTTTTACTTCCACATTAGGAGGTGAGTTGTCATCCACCCTCTGGAATTCTTTTTTGCTTTTGATCTTTATTTATTTGTTTAATTTTGGTTGATGTCCCAAGCATGGTTTTGGAGACGAAGGTAGGTCTTCGCTCTCCAAATCAAAAGGAAAAAAAAAAACCTAAATAAAACAACACTCTCCTTGGTCATATTTAAAAGAGAAAAATCCAAACTGTTCCATTCCATATCATTTAAAGAAAAAAAAAATCAACTACTGAACTATTTCTACAGCTTACTGATCTAAAAGGGCGGGTTTTTTCCAAAAGTATCGAATGGATCCAAAAACGATTTTCCTAGACGTGATTCAAGTTATTTGCTGTCAACATTTTAATATCAATATTACCACAATGTGTAGTCTCAAACTAGTTCCTTTGTAGTTTGCATGGGATGTGAATGCTGTCTCGGCGTGCCCAGACCTAGAGAACTTGTTACTACTGCATGAGCATCAAGTCAGATGTTGAAAAATACCTATTCTATTTTGTGATAATTTGGTGAAAATGAGCACCTCCAGTCTCTGGTTGCAGTAGTGTGTTGAATGATTGTTCTTTTTTTTATTTTTTCTTTTTTTTTTATATATATCCATATATATATTTTTGGAGCTCTAAGCTTGGTAGTAGTCCGGGCTGACTCTTCTCCAGTACTTGCTCTCCTCTCGCATGGCCTTGGTTAAGTGTTAGAATTGGGCCTAGGCTGTTTATTCTGGTGTTTGGCTTTGTAATACCGGTGCATGCCCGGCGTCTGGCCTCATACCCAGCTTTATTCTCTGCACACCAGTCTTGAATAGCTACAGTGCTCAACCGAATTTTGGCGCACCCGCTTCCCCGGCAGGCTCCAACCCAGCGCGGCCCGGAGGCTTCCCCGGGGCCAACAGCCCCGGGCCCGTGGCGGATCTCTACGGCACGGCCAGCCAGGACTCCGCCGTGGGGAACTACATAAGCGCCGCCAGCCCGCAGCCGGGCTCGGGCTTCGGGCACGGCATCGCCGTAAGTACCCCGCGCTGCCGGCTCCCCGCGGCTCTGGGAGGGGCTCTGGGGAGGGTTTTTTGGGGTGGTGGTGGTGGTCCCGTGGCCGGGGCGGCTTCTCGCTGCCGGAACCTGCGAGCCGTGCCTGAGCTGGGGTGATTGGGGGTTCCAGCTGGGATTGTCGAGGTTGGAAAAACCTCTGGAATTACGGGGTCCAGCCTTTGGCCAATCACCCCGTGAGAGCCCCACGTCACTGACAGCCACGTTTCCAGGGATGGGGACTCCACCCCTGCCTGAGCAGCCCGTTCCAGTGATTAATCACTCTTGCGCTGGAGAAATTTTGTCCTAATATCCAACCTGAACATCTGCTGGTGCAAACGCTCCTTCGGAGCCCTCTGCAGCCAGACATGACACGTTTCAAAGAAAAATACTTCATAAATACGGGATTTAAATCCCTGCTTGTCCATATGGGCTTTACATCAGCCCAACTACCCCTCCTGGGCTGCTGCACCCTTCGGCAGGCAGAGCAACAATCCCTGCTCCTGCCAAACGAGCAAAATCAGCTCATTAACTTGGCTCCAGCTCCTCTTCACCTGTTTGCTGACCTTTGGGGTCACTCCCGGCCGGTCCGGGTGGCACTGGCAGCCCCTGAGGGCCGCAGGTTGGGAGCGAGGGGCCGCGCTGGCCGCGGGGTCCCCCCGGGAGGTGCCTCCTAACGCGCCGCGGGGCTGCCGCGCACTAACGAGGGGCAGAGATTGGCTTAACGAGGCTGCACGTGGCTGTGTCACCTGTGTGTGAGCATGAATGGGGCTGGCCTGCCCCGTGGCACCCCCAGCACGGACTGCAGCGAGGCTCCTGCCCTTTTTGGGGCGCAGTCGGGAGCTGGGTTTTGTCTCCTGGACGGTGGGGAAGTGCAGAGGCTCCCCCCGAGGTCCCTCAAACCGAGAGGAGAACTTCCCTCCCCATGGAATTGGATGGGGGGAGCAGGAGTGTGGTGCAGACAAAGTTCCTGAAGCTGTTATTTTTGTTGCAAAAAAGACAAACCAACCCTCTGCCTGGCTTTGTGCCCCTGTGCTCAGTTCCCATCCCGGGCCTGCCCCTCCCGTGGTCCCACCGTGGGCTTGACAATCCCTGTGGATCAATTCTAGCACAAACATGGAATATTACTGCTCTGCAAGGAGCTACATCAGTTCAGGCTGCCACCTCTCACCACTTACAACACCTCTTATTTCCATTTTTCACCTAAAAACCTGTTTGTGCTTGAAAACTTGGGCACTTTTGTATCAGCAACATCCTGATTTTTCGAGTGAGAGGACACCAGGTCCAAGCCTGGGTATCCAGATTTGTCTGCACTAACACTTCCCAAAGAACCATTTTATAATTGACTTGCAGATTGGTAGCCTCTTAATTCCCCCAATAACTGCAAAGAATCCCATAGCTTTTATTACATATCTATTTATTTAACACTCTCCTTTTACTAACCCTGGTTTAAAAATAAAGAAGGGAGAGCCCCAAAGCTTATTTTTGCACTTGGGGGAATGAGAAGATGATGGTCTTGGAAAGGTGACCATAGGGCTGAGCACACCTGGTGACCAGAACAGCTCTTGGAAATCCCTATTCATGCTGGCAACACAGTCTTTCAAGTCCTTTGATAATTTCTTGGCAAAAATTAATAATCAGCTGTTCCCATGTATAGAGCACTGATGAACTTAACAATTGTACAATTTTAGGGACCTTTGATTGCAACGGCTTTTACAAATGGATACCATTGAAACGTTACACATGGTTGGTTGCCATCTCACTTGGAGGTATTACAGTATATCCCATTTGTACTTTGTGCTGAACTACCATCTCCCCTATATTTACTTTAAGTGAACAATTTTTTATCTTCATTTCGTCTTTCCTTGGCCTTTAATCATTCCTTTCTGTGATTTGTGTTACTCAAATCGACCTCGCGGGCTGGAAACTGGAAGACAGATCCAGAGCTAAACCAAAAGTCACTTTTTCATCTTCATGGTGCTTCGTGCTGTAATTTGAAGAGGCAGAAAACCCAGAGGGCTGTGGGGAATCACCCCCAGTGCCAGCAGCCAGAATCCCAGTGGGATCACAGATCTGCTCCCAGCACACTGCTTTAAAAATAACTGAGCCCCACTTGCTTTATTACTGAGAAACCATCATTCTTAATTAAGTGCTGTACCAAATATTACAGCTAAAAGATAACATTGTAACTTGTAACCATAGAGCAATTATCAAGATTAAAAAAAAAAAAAATTAAACCTGAGCAAATTAAATTAAAGGCATTACCTGAGCACCGCAGCCCTGGATCGCTGCCAGTTTCCTACCCTTTGAACTAAGCTCCAGTTAATTAAATGTTTAATTTTTATTTTTTATTATTATTTGGCCTTTGGCATATTCATCTTTACAAACAAATATTCTTAACGCTCGGAATGGAATAGATTAGAAAACGCAATGAAAAACAGAAGTTATCCCAGTTAAATGGCATGGGTCTGCCTCCAGAGCTCTGAGCCCGGACAGGCAGATGGAATGGATGTGACAGATTTTATTTCCCTGCCTCTTGCCCAGCACTACATGATCAATGTCACATCATTTACGTTCAAAAATCAGTCTATGAAATTAGAATTAAAGTTAGTCGAGGGGCTGAGAACTGTGGAAAATGTCCAGAGACTTTAAACTACATAAAAATAGATTTATACCTAAACACTAGTGCATAAAGGGGGTTTCTATTTACTCTCCATCTCCACACACACCCCCAAGATTACCTGAAATTGTTCTGTCAATTGATTTGCTCCGCCAAGGAGTGTTTTCTACGGGAAAGAAAAAAGTGCCATAAGCACTCTTGCTTAATCCCAGCTATTACTCGCACGTAGCAGGGCCCGTTCTGCCATCAATTTGTCCGAATCCTTCCCGTTTGCTGGGCTGTCAGCCTCTGGAGCAGCGAGGTGGTACCCGGGGCACAGCACCATAACTCAGCCTAACAACGGTCGCTGCTCGCAGCCGTCGCTCGCCGGCCAGCCTCCGGACTCAAACCATTAACGACTTCAAAACAAAGTGCTTTTAACGGTGCTCGTTACTAATTAAAATGGATTTTGAGAGGAGGAAATGAGCCTTATTATTAATTCCTGGAGGAGCGCCGAGTTTGACGCGCTCGCGGCAGCGGCTGCTGCCGGCGTCCCCCGGGCAGGGTTTGGCTGAGCTGCAGGTTCCCAGGGCAGGGATCGGTGCCCACATCCCTGCAGGATGCTGCTGGGACCTCACCCCAGCACAGCTGTTTGGGGATGGGTTTTGGAGGTCGTCAGGGAGCATCCTGTCCTGGCCCTCATCCCCGTGAGCGGCTGCCTGCAGAGCCAGTGCCCTAAATATTTATATTTCTTTTATACGTCACATAGCTCAGCTTTAAGCACTGGCCAAGCACTGAAGCTCCTGTATAAAATAAATCCTGGCTGCCTCAGCGTGCCCAGTTAAAACCATCCAGGTACTTCAGAGAAAGCCCATTTTCCCAAAGCTGTGTGAATTCATGGCCTAACAGATGCCTGAGGAGCCGTTTTTGTCCTGGCCGTACATCAACTCACATTTTACTGTTCCTAAACTGGAAATAAGAGCAGGGAACACGTGAGACCCCCTCTCCCATGGGAGCTGTCCTGGGAACACCTCAGCATTCCAGCCCTCTGGGGCGGATGGGGCAGGCTGTGGCTGCAGAGTGTTTGCAAACACTTGGGGGTTTTTTAATTAAAAATCCTAATTGACCTCAATTAACTGTCCCTCTCTCGTGTCCGTGTCCACCTTCTCCCCACGCAGAGTCTCTCTGGATGTCCGGGCAAGACAGGGCGAAGTTTCTGAAGGGGCCCACGGTTGGGTGATCTCATCAGACTTTGAGCACTACATCATCATCACCATCATCATCATCATCATCACCGCCAACGCAAACTGGAGGTGGCACTCGAAGGACTTGGGTTGTTTCAAAATCTCTCTCATCATCTCATGAATCTGCTGTACTATAAAAACAACAGCTTTTAAAAGTATGTATATAAAACCCATTTCTTGTTCGTTTTATTTTCTCGATGGGTCCCCCCCCCTCTTTTTAAGCCTCTCCAAACCCACATCTTTTCGTAGCCTTTTTGACATAGTCTCGTAGCCACGTAGTCGGAATTCTTTGTGTACCTAGCGAGAGCCTAACCATAGTGTAACTGTTATATTAAGGGGTTTCTTTTGCTTTTTCTTTCCCACCTCCCCTCCTCCTCCTCCTCCTCCTCCTCCCTTCTGTTTTACGTAGTTGTTGTTGCTTAAAGGATGCTGAGATGGTGGCAGGAGCCTCGGCCGCGGGGGCAGCGGAGCCGGCGGCGCGGGGGGCTGGCAGGGCACGGGGAGGGGGGAGCAGCAGCTTCTCTGGCCCTTCTTTTCCTTTGTGGCGTCTCGGTTACTCTGATTCTCTCTATTTTTTGGCAATAAGGCGAGGGCGACAAACTTTTTGGGCGTCCTTTTTCTATATAAGTGCTTTTTTTTTTTTTTTTTTTGTTGTCGTCGTCGAAAGAGGTGATATAAGGTTTTTTGAAATCGCGAATTCTGAAAAAAAAAAAAAAAAAGGAGAAAAAAATAATAAAGTGCTGTAAATACAATTCCATTAACTACATAGAAACTATTAAGAAAGAGAAATACAAACCTATTTTTGTGACGGAGTCAGCCTAAGGCAGTTTCTCTCTGGAAATGGATGGGAAAGACAAGGAGGTTGTAGCCTTTGGGGGCAGCTGCCCGGGGGGCTGTGCTGCTGTGGGACCCCCCCAGCTCGCCCAGTTCTCACCAGCAGCTTCGCTCTCACACGTGCTCAGCTTGCAAAGGAACAGTCTGGTGGTATTTTTATTTTAATTTCAAACCTGCTTTTCCCAAAACTGATCAAGAAGCTACGATTTTTCCTACTTATGGCATTTACGGTTCAAAGCACACCTTTGTTTTGTTGGGTTTTTTTTGGATTTATTTTTTTTTTTTTTAGTCATTGTTTTAAACTAGATCAACTTGCTGTCCAGTCATTTCAGCTGCTCTGGGCACCCCACGAGGGCAGAGCAGCGTCCAGCTTGCATGGTTTCCTTTATTATCCATCACTTTCTGTATTGTCAAATTAGAAAGCAACTTTGGTTGGTTTTGATTTCTTTTTTTTTTATTTCTTTTTTTTTTTTTTTTTTTTTTTTTTTGGGAATACCTCAGTGCTACAAGTTTCACCCTAGAAGCAACGGAAGATTTTAATTTATTGTAGTTGTAAACAGAATTTAAAAGAAATAAAGTATAAAACATCATTGCACTGTGACTGGTAGGGGAAAAACTGACAGTTTCCTATTTGCACATGTTTAATATTTGGCTGTTATATATATGGTCCTCTGTTGGGGGAGGAAACTTATGAAGGATATTTTTTAATTTAATTTTTTTAATATTGGTAAATAGGCCTGCAACAGCAAACTAGAAGTACAACATGGTAGGTGGCATTAAGAACATACTGTAGTGTGGATATATTTCTTCTTTTTTTAACGTAATATTGACAAGTTTTATTAATATTTTTTTAAATTGTTACGTTTATAAATTTGGTACTTTAGGTACAGCCAGTATAAGACACTGAATGCGACATTTGTTAAAAAGAGCTGCTGCACTCCTATTTTTGTAAATTTTACTAACAAGTAGACTAATGTAGACATTCAATAGACAAGGTAGAGCAAGGCATCTTTAACAAAACAAGGCACCATACTGCTAACCGAAAGGAGAAACCTTGTTTTTCTTGTTTTTAAAAAAAAAAATCATGCTTTTTATGTAATATTTTAGGTTTTTTTCTTATTTCAGAACAACCAGGTTTAAGCAAAATGCTGGACGCTTTTTAAATATTGAGACTTGATCAAGTAATAAAAGAAATAAAACCGAATTCTTTAAAAAATAAAAAGGTAAAAATAAAAAAAAAAAAATAAATACTACGAACCAAATTCCCTGCGATTCAGTGTGCTGCCAGGGAATTTTTTATTGCTATTTTGTCAATGTTGATGATGTACTGTACTACCAGTTGGTTTTCCTCTCCATTCCCTGTCACCTCATAGAATATTCTTTGTTGATCATTGTTGTATGTTAATAGTGTATAAAATGGCTTATCTTGTAAGAGTGCTGTCCTGATGGTAGTGTAGTGAATTTTCCCCCCCCTCTTTCTCTCTTCCTCTTCTAGTACATATTGGTAGGTGTATCGTAATTAAGGTTAAAAATTTAGATGTAGTTATTCAGATTTAGGACCAGTAAGGATAGAACTTTCTCTTATTTAAAAAAAAAAAAAAAATGCTAATAATTTTGGGAAGGTTTTCCTTTCTTGTTTTTTTTTTCTTCTCTTTTTTTCTTTCTGTGCTTTTTTTTTTCCTCTTGTTTATTATTTTTCTTCTGTTGATCTGATGCGGTTTCAACTAACCAAAGGTCTCACAATGTTAAAAATGCTGGCAAACTCTTAAGGCATTTGTAGATCCCCACCCATGACTTTGGAAAGGGGATGTGCCATACTACCTTAAATGCTAATGCTAGATATGCAAAACTGGATTTTTTTAATTTATTTTTTAAAAGAGGGAGGCACGGTATATTAAAACGATTTTACTAAGAGAAAAAAAAAAAAAAAAAAACATATTTTTTTAAGAATGCTCAGAAGAAATTGCTAATCTGTGTGAATATGTTTTAGATGTTTATATACCTTTTGAGAAGTCCCAGTGGCCCATAGCACAAATGTCGTGGAATCCAAGATGTTTTGATGTGGCTACCTAGACTAAGGTTCACGTTAGTCCCCCACTCATCTAGAAATCAATTTTGAAGGATTTTTTTTTTTTTTTTCCTTCGTTCGTTTGGGGGTTTTTTGTAAATTTTTCAGCACAAAGGTTCAGCTCCACCTTTGCTTTACTCAAGCCCAGGAGGGAGCGAAGGACGGTGGAAGCACGGACTGGTTTGGCTTGGAGGGGACCCTAAAGCCCGTCAGTGCCACCCTGCCCTGGCAGGGTCACCTCCCGCTGTCCCGGGGTCCAGCCTGGCCTGGCACCTGCAGGGACAGAGCCCAGGGCTCTCAGGACACCCTCCCTGCGAGGACAGTGCCCTTTGCTTCCAGATCCCCAGCTGGGGTGACCAACAGGAGCCGTCGCCACCAGGCTGGGTGACCTGGCCAGGGGACGCGTCCCAAACTCCAGGGACATTCCCCAGGAGCCACCAGGGACCCTCCCCCTCCAAACATCCTCGGGATCGGCTTGATTAAACTGAAGCCTGATCTGTCCTTTGGGGTTTTTATTTTTTCTTACACTTCATAAATGTTCATTTTGAGTTGAATTTGTAGCTTGGACTTTAAGGTAGCATGGCTCTCTTTGCTGTAAGTTGATTTTTTGGTTTTTTTTCCATTGTACAGCAGCGTCTGCTGGTGAATGTCACACATCTTGCTAGGCTTAGTTAAATCATTGGGTAATTGTGGGTGATGACGACCTGAAAGGTGTTGGGATTTCTTTTCTTCCCTGCTTTCATCTGTAGTGTGAATGAGGGCTAGCGACTCCAGCCACACGTCCCTTCCTGTTTCGTTTCCGCCATTCACTCAATGCAACATAATCAATAATAAAGCAATATAGTTTACTACATTTTTACTGAAGGCCAGCCATGGTTCTGTATGATATTGCATATGAAACTGTTTACAAAAACAAAAAAAAAAACCAAAAAAAAGAAAAAAAAAGAAAAAAAAAAAACACTAACTCATAGCTGTCTTTTATGCTATGGCGATGTCTCTTGGGTGGAATCTTCTGAATTCTTTTTTTTAGTGGTTTGGTTTGTTTTTTTCAAAGCGACATAGTTGAGAGAGAGGGAGAAGTGAGGTTAGTGTTGGAAGAGACAGGATGCCTCGCAGACACACGGGCAGATCCGCTCTGCACACAGACACTGTAGAGTTTCCTTCGTACAGAATCCAGCCGGCCCCGCGAACACTACGTGAGGAGATTCTGTAAGCTAAGCAATACTTTAATAGCCCAGAGGGGTCACCCTGGTCCAGTGGGGTCACTCTGGTCCAGTGGGGTCACCCTGGCTCAGGGGGGGTCACCCCAGCCCGGAGGGGTCACCCTGGTCCAGTGGGGTCAGCCCGGCCTAGAGGGGTCAGTCTGGTCCAGTGGGGTCACCCTGGCTCAGCAGGGTCACCCCAGCCCAGCAGGGTCACTCTAGTCCAGCAGGGTCACCCTGGCTCAGGGGGGTCACCCTGGTCCAGAGGGGTCACCCTGGTCCACTAGGGTCACCCCAGCCCAGCAGGGTCAGCCCAGCAGGGTCACTCTGGTAAAAGAAAAAAAAAGAAGCCCAGCAGGGTCCCCCAGCCCAGCGGGGTCCCCCCAGCCCAGCGGGGTCCCCCGGCCCGGGCTCGCCTGTCGCGTGACCGTCGTAGGTAGCACCCCCGTCATTCTCTGTCGTACGAGGTCTGAACTCCCATCAGTACTAGGATGCAAGTGAGCATTTCAGGTGGTCATAAATGTACCTAAATAAACTATGGCACAGTGGCAGGCCTAGCCCTTCCTTTTATACTTTAGTATGAACTGATGAGAACTTTGGTAGTGACTTTTTTTTTATATATATACATATATATATGTATCTATATATATCAAGCATCTTTCAGGTCTCTGTGTATGGCTTTCTGAAGCCCTGTTGTAAAATACTATGTGGATGGGGGTCTCTCACATCACAGATGTGGAAAGTATAATTTTATATTTGTATTTTCAAATAAATAAGTTTGTGAAAGGTTTCCATCCTCTACTGTGGTCCAGAAATCAATGTGTTTGTCTGACGAAAAAATACAATAAACTGTTTTGAACAGATCCATGGAGTCCATTTCATTGGGGTGGGGGGAATATTTATTCCTGGGGGGGGGGGGGGAGATCACCCCCATCACCCCAAAACTCATCACCTTGTTGCCCATCCTGCTCCCACGGGGTGGGCAGCACATCCCTGCCCTGTCCCTGTCCCCTGCCCAGTGCCCCAAGGCTGGTCCCTCACCCTGTGCCCTGCCAGGCACATCTTTGGC